ACAATTCTTAGGCCTTTTAGGAGCCTCGGAACGGCCCGTTCCAATTCGAGAACGGACCGTTCCAGACTTTGGAATGACCCGTTCTGATTTTGGAACAGCCCGTTCCGGACTACTAAAAATAGTTAATTTGGGTTTTTGGGCCCTCTGATGTCCTATCTTGTTGTTTGTATGATGATAGTATATGATAATAAAAATAGGTTTATTCTTAGAGCACCTATATCTAAGAATAGAACCTTCAAAGTTGAAATTCAGGTTTTGGAGCATTAGTACTTAGTTTTTGCTAAGAATAGTGAAGAAAGGCTTTGGCATTATAGGTTTGGGCATCTAAATTTTAGAGACATGAACCTCTTGAGTAGACACAACATGGTAACTGGTCTCCCTCAGATTCATCAACCCAAGGAAATGTGTGGAGTGCAAACAGCCAAGAAACACCTTCAAGCAACATGTTCCTATCAAATCAAGATGCAAATTAGAAGTGGTATAATATAATGTCTCTGGCCCTCTTCAAACTGAATCACTTGGAGGTAACAAATATTTTGTGACTTTCATTGATGATTTTAGTATAAATTTTTGGGTATACTTGATTAAGAACAAAGGAGATGTATTTAGTACCTTTAAAAAATTTAAGTGCTTGGTTGAAAAATAATGTGATTGTTTTGTTAAAATTTTAAGAACTGATGGTGGTGAGTATGTTTCAATTGAATTCACAAGCTTTTGTGGAGATGAAGGCATTATGCATGAGGTGACTCCATCTTATACACCTCAACACAATGGTACTACTGATAGGAAGAATAAAACCCTCACAAACATGGTGAGAAGCATGCTGAGTGTAGACACCCAATTTCGTTTGGAGGGCATAAAAATAAGGAAATTGACTTCCATTATCAAAGAAAAGGAGCTCCCAATAGAAACAACAGGACATGACATCAGAACGCCTAAATGTCTAAACAAGTTGATTTTAGTAGCCAAGAACGGCCTGTTACTGTCGCAACCCGGAAATTTCCGATCTCGCGACTAATGGTTTAAACATCCTTTTAAAAGTCTCAACAATTAAGGAATGCCCAGACACCAGACTAATCCTTAATTAATGGTTTTGAAAATGAGTTCATGGAGTCGCCACCAATGTTTTACTCAAAACATTGAAAAAAGAAAAGATTTTATTTAAAAAATCCAATAAAGGCCTTGATAACCAGAATTGGGTTCGGGGGTCGGTTACGTGTAGGGAAGGTATTAAGCACCCCTACAACGCCCTTAATTGGTACCCTATGATGAAGTTAGCATTATAAATGATAATAATAATATAAATATTAAATCCCCTTTTATTAATAATTATTTACATGCTTGAAATTTAAATTATACAATTAATCCTAAAATGTCTACATGATTATTTTTATTATAA